CACCCTCACTCCCACCAGTATGTCAGAGGTTTTGAGGGACTAATCCAGGGAGCAAAGAAAAAATAAATTCAATTCTCTAAATCAGGAAGGACTAAAATGTCAATAATAGAATTGGCATGAATATATAGTGTTCCAAAGTAAGATTAAATCTGGCCTCAGTTGGCTAAATCTGAGCAAGATTGCCTGGCAGTTGAGGACATATTTCCAAATAGCTGCTTAGGCTCCCCTGTGGCCTATGCTTAGGTCAGTGAATCCACCCTATCAAGACTCTCTACAGCAACTTGAAAAATCAGGCTTTGGATCTTGGCCTTTACAGTGCACATGGCCTTGAGCAGTACATTGCCATGGATGCTTAGGGAGGGGGAGCTCCTGCTAAAGCAATACTTGGAAAGGGCTGGGAAGGCCACAAAGAACAGCTGAGCCAGTTGCCTTGGGGAACCTGCTGCGTTTGGTTGTGCTCTGACATTCCCAAAAAGCATCAGTGCCAAACACAAGCAGTGCAGACACTCACATTCATACCCACTTCTCTCCATTCAGGTGAACCACAGGGCTCTCAGGCTGCCTGAAAACCGCCAAAAACCTCTTTCATATTAAGCTGTAAAGCTGCCAGTAACTCACCCTCTCCAGTAACTGGAGAGAAACTAATAAATTGAGATTTGCAGGTGAAGTGTTACCAGTATAAACACAGGCTTATGTTAGGAGCATCTCACTGCAGCCCCTTGCTGGCAGGGGGTTTGGTGTGTCAGTTTGTGGTGAGAGCATGGGGGTATGTGGCACACATTTTCAAACTTGACCTCTACAAATCACATGACTTAGAAAGGTTTTTTAAAAATATCCTTACTAAAAGCACTGAGCCTAGACAGTCTGTCCTCATCATGGAGCAGCAGGAGCCAGGACCACTCATGGTCTTGTGCGCTACATCTACACCCATCAGAGCATGAAGTACTCCCGGGATTTGGTATCTCACTGCTCCTCGGCAGGCAGAGGCTGCTCCTTAACTTATCTGCCTCATTCAAACAGCTTCTAGTCCCTCCTTCCCATCCCGCCTCGCTGGCACATAGCACATGGGTGCCCTTCAGTCCCATAATCATAGGACTTTCGTGCCACTGAGGCACCCCGGGGGATCCCAACCAGCCCCTGGCTGCTGTTCCAGAAGGGTTCCCATAGGACATATTTGCCATCCCGTGGTGTCCCCATAGACACATCCCAGTTGCTAATGCCATCTCTTGTGGAACTGACTACCTCTCCTTTAGGCAGCTGGACCCCACCTGTGACCTGTCTTTGGAGGCAGCTGGAAATGGGGCAGGATTGCCAGGGATGTCCTGACTGCTGTGACCAGTCTGAAGGCAAAAAGCATCCTGACGTGAGTATCGGCAGGCAAGGCTCACTGGCAGCTCTCTCAACCTTGGCTACATGGACGTAGGGACATACCACTGCTGCCTGTAAATCACCCTGCAGATATCCACCAATGCACAGGACTGCATACGACTTCCCAGATCCTGTCACAGGAATCACCATTTGAATGAGCTGTTGCCCTTTTTCCCCTCTTTTTCCCCCTAAACACACCTGCATCATGGAGGTACAGTCCATTCTTACATTTCGCCATTTCTCTAAAGGAAACCATATGTATTTATCCTGGGGAATGCCTGGTAGCCTGTGTAATATTTTTGGAAATAATTCTTTTCAAGGAATTTTAATCACTGTTGATGTATAAAAATAAATAACCAAATCTGTGACCAGATTGTGTGTTGGGTGACATCGGGCTGTCTTCACCAACATGCAGCTGCTCACCAGCCTTTCGGGACTGCTTCAGTCTCCAGTCTTTGCAAGAGCTGCCTGCAAGCTCCTCTCAACCTGAACCGAATTCATCTTTGGGAAGAAGAAAAACTCTCCATTTGAGGGAGAGAAACATTTTCAGCAAAACCCAGGGCCAAGGATAAAAGCAAGAGAAACTGCTTTGTCCCTGCCCAGAAGCTACTGGAGTCGATCTTCACTGTAGTTCTGCAGGAGGAGAAGCAGACGTGGGATCTGCAGCTCCTTATTGCCCTGACTTTGCTTGAGAAATCTCTGAGCTTTCTACTCCTCGTGGGAATTTTTTTCTGCAGTCCAAATCATTGCCGATTTTGGTTGATCTGAAGAATGGTGAGTGAAATCCATTGCTTTTCATCATTCAGAAGCCACTCACAAGGTTTTGACACAAGGCCAGTTTGGCTCAAAGCCGGGCCCACGGCCAGCTTGAAAATATTCCTGAACTTTTCAACAATCCCTGGCTGGTTTTCAAACTTAAAATGAAAGCCAAGATCAGGGAAAGTTTGCAAATTTTTAGGTTGTATAAGAAAACTTCCGTACAACTTGTCATAAATTCCCACCATTTATTTTCAGTTATTTTCATGCTGGGAGAATCTCTCAATCTCCAAACCCTGCTCTTGCCTCAAAGAGCATAACCATATTTTTCACAAAAAGGATGGTCTGAGAGGTGTGGAGGAAGATACAGGATGTGTCGGGAAACTACCTGGAAAACATACCGTCCAGTTCGCTCTTGTTTGGATGCATTGTTCCTTGTCTAAAGTGGCCCCAGGTGCCCCATTGCATAGGGAGTGTTGTAAGTTTATGGCAGTTTATGGCAGTGTTGTACGTTGCTGGAGCTAGGGATCTCCCGCTGGGTCCATTCCTACAGCTTAGGAACATGCAGGAAAACCCATCTGAACAGGAGAATTAAAGAGCTTTCTGAAATACTTGACAGTTTTAGATATTCAGCAATAAGACAGACCTCTTATTCAGCAACTTAAGAATATTTAGTCACACAGAGAGAACAGGGAAATTATTTACTTCTCCCAGTGATGGGAATGGGAGCTGTAGCTGTCTAGGTGATGTGGAACAGAAATACAGGTGCTGCAGCCACAAACAGAAAAGGATACTGCATGCGCAGGACTGCACTGGTTGGGATGCTGCTCTGCTTGCCATGGTTGGCTAGACACACATACAGCCACAAAACAGTTACTTAATTAAACAGGAAAAATAAAATGGGAAATATTTAAAACACATTACTACTCTTACGATGTTGCTAATTTGACAGTCTGTCAATCCACAGCTAGCAAACATCAAAAAAGGTCTGTATTGCTCACTTTACCTCCACCTTGCCACAGTTTGACACATGCAGAAAAACATGTCTAAAGCCCCATTGCAAAGGATTCCAAAAGCCGAAAATTATTTTCTTTCCCTCTCTTTTTCCTTTTCTTTCTTCTATCTTTCTTTTTCTTTTTTCTTTTTCTTTTATTTCTTTCTTTCTTTCATTCTTTCATTCAGTCTATTCTGCATTCTATAAGCCTGAATCTACAGATCAGGTTAAGCCTGAAGAAGCCTTCAGTAATGTAAGCAGTATCACAGTCATTCAACTTAATGGGGATTTACACCATTTAAGAGACCACCCCTCTTTGTTCTGTACACTAAGATTCAGCATGGCCATATTTTTATCCATCAGTGAACAACAAAATCTCACAAGATCCTTCCCCCCTTCTTCATGTCATTATACTGTTGAGGCAACCCTATCTGCAGACCCCAGTCCTGCCCCTCTTCACACACACGCCCCCCGCACCTAGAACAGCCTTACATTACAAGCCATCTGCCTCTCTCTCCAGTAAAAAGTCACGTTTCACAACCTACCACTCAGATCAGCGAATAAGCAGCACATCAGCAGATTTGCTGCCTGCCCAAAGCTACAAAACAGCAAAACATTTCCCACATCACCCGATGGGCGTTAGATCCCATTTTACTACTGAACTCAGTAGCATCAAGCAGACAGAAAAGCACCAGGGAAACATCCATGTTGAGAGCATACACATGCACAGATGCACACTCAGATCCTGAAAAAAACATACAGATGGGTATCAGTGGAATAATACACAGTCACGCAGACTGTGTTGTTTCTGGCCAGCTACTCTTTGTGCTGATTGACTGGAGGGAATTAGAAAGGACTCAGACCAAAAACGCAGTTCCTAATGCTCCTGCAGCTATTGCATAACGGAGACTGATTCCCGTCCCAAGCCCTGACCCTCAACTTACTCAAGACAAGTTTAATGCTGTCAGGCTGCATAATGGAAACATCTACTTCCCAGTGAAGAGGAATCTAGATGGAATCCACCAGCTTCCCCAGGGCTGGGTTATTTGGTTATTTGGGTTTTCTGCTGGGCAGCAATAGGAAAGAAAGTAGGGAAGTGTCACCAAGAAGGAAATAGAATCATTTTCCCCAAACATTTCTACCAGGAGCTACTGGAAGCTGAAGCCTTCTGGGGTTCATTGATAGATACACACCTGCTATTAATACACCCACTAAAGAAAGGAACCCGAAATGAAGAGAAATCAAATACATCCCAAAAGTAAACTGAAAATCAATGAACCTGTAGACCCTAGCTAAACTAAATGCACCTTAAGTCAAAAACACCTAATAAAGCAAAAGGAGGAAAACACAGCAACCAAAAAGCCCACGGTTAAATGGACGTGTTTCAAAAGCATGCAGAAAATATACAAGCACTTCAGAATAGGCACTTCATTGAAAAGCTACATGTCGAAATAAGGGGCCATGCAGGAATTCCAGGTGCACAAGGAATAGCTGAAGTAACTCCTTTGAGATCTGTCACTCCAGATGTGTACAGGTGTATGACAAATGAGGACAGAGCCCCATCAAGTCAAGTGAAATCAAATGCCCTCCAACATTTGACTGAAATCTGGATGTCCTGTGCCTAGCAAACTGCAAAGAGCTTTAGGGAACTTGGCTGGGTCCTGCATCCCCCCTCCCCCACATCAGCAAAAATGATTATTTGCAAAGGCCGCAATTGCTCGTTATTTTCTGTTTTCCTACATGCGCTCATTAACTCATTAGTAACGTTTCCAAGCAGCCAGGCTGGGAGAAGAACCAGGGAAGGGACGGGAGCGAAACAACCAGGAGATGCTGCTGCCAGGGCCCCTTTGTTGAGCATCCCTGGGTACCCCTCGCCTTTTACCTGGGGATGCAGTTGCCATGGCAACGGGCGGGTGTTCCCTGGCGGAGCCGAAAACCAGCTGTTCCCGCTGCTGAGCCCCATCTCCATCCCGCAGCGGAGCCCCAGCTGCATACTGGTCCGCCCCGTCCGCAGCCCAGTGCACCCCAGTGCCCGCCA